TCACATAATCTCAACTTATTATTATTATCAGATAAACGCATTAAAAATTTAGAATTCACTTTACATAGCGCCATGCAATCCGAAAATTAATCAACACTATTTCACACAACACACAATGAAGCTTTTCTAAATTAACCCCCTTTTCCGATTAAAGAACTGTAATTCGTTCATTAATGTCACGTTTCACACAACGCAGAATATAGCTAAATACGAAATTTCCAGATTTCCCCCTTTTTCCGATTAAACAACTGTAATTCGTCCATTAATGTCACATGACATATCTCATGATCTCTCATTTCCCTCACACAAAATAATGCGTAATCGGAACTGAGTGCTTCTCACATTATTACCAAAGTCCTAGGTAGTAACCTTTATCGCCTTCAAAATGTCGCCAAACTACCAGTTACCATATTCCAAAGATCAACCGAAATATTCAGCATTTCTTATATCCATTCGGTAAAAGTATAGTTTAGGGTACCCCTTGGCGATTTTTGGCGGTGCATGGATACCGATTTTGTGCAATTCTTTGACTCGTTATTTTGGCTTGCGAAGCGGCTATTTTTAAAAATCGCCGCTACACAAAGCCAAAATAATAAGACAAACAATTGCACAAACTTGGTATCCATGTACACATCGACTTATTTTCACTTAAAAAAAAAATCCCCGAATTGCACAAAAAGGGCATTGTGCACTCCTTTGACTTTATCCATGTATATGTCGACCTATTTTCACTTAAAAAAACAGTCTCCAAATCGCACAAAAATGGCATTGCGCACTCTTTTAACTTTATCCATGTACACGTCGACCTATATTCACTTTAAAAAAAATCCCAGAATTGCACAAACTTGCATTGCGCACTTCCTTTTACTTTGTCCATGTACACATCGATATATTTTCACTTAAAAAGTCAAAGGAGCACCAAATTCTACAATATAGGCAAACAATAAAATAACATAAAAAAGGAAAAACATATTATACATTTAAGCACTACCAAAAGCAAATATTCATGTACCATGATTTTCGAGTTCGCTTCATACATCCAGAGCCACATAAAAATTAAAATATCAATCATACTCAAATGACTTTTTTCAAACCAGGTACTCTTTCTGATCGAACGCTTCGCATAGTGACCATCTGAACCTTCCTTCGTACAAACCCATTCAATTCCATCTAAACGGTTTTTACGTTCGACTAAATGCATATCCTTCCTACATACAGGACACTTATAATGGCTACTAAGTAAACCTTCATTTACACACCAGTCGATTAAAGCTCTTTTCCCCTTTCACTCCAAATCGTACAGAAACTTCAAATTAATCTTACTACATTCGGCCATTCTACCGTCTAAAGAATCAAACCAACACACACCACAAAAACGCTTACAAAACATCCCATGATTCAAAATTTCCCAGAATCATGCACACGATTATGTCACAATAGGGTTTCCATAACATTCAACTACTCAGGCTACCATAAATGAAACAACTACTGTGCAATAAATCAAACAACAACTTCGCCATAATACAAGGGGTACCTTAAAGTCTACGTTACCCATCCATTCTTAGCAGTCTGAAAATATACTGCCATCCACAATGTATTCCTAAATGGCAGTCATCAACGTTATAGCACAACGATCGGGAATGGCGACCAGAAAACATTCTTTGCTTTCCCAGCATAAACTCCGGAATACTTATTGTTCTGGAAGAACATATTCAATGTTTTTTTTTCTTTTTCTTAAAAAAAGCTCTCTCATCAATTTCTCTGATTTTATTTATCTTATGAGACATCAAATTATTTGCACATACCTCCCTCAAGCAGTTATTCTAATGTACTGTCCTGTTATGGCTGATTTCTAACTAAAGTTGGCAAAATTCAACCGACGTCAATTCCTGACACCACAGATAGTTAAAATTAACAGCACTAAGGAAAGAAAGATGGAAACCTTCAAACCATGTTTTGATTCTCAATCCTTTCTTTTCACAGCATGAATGTATGTAACAACGCCATATAGAAGCATTGTTCGAGTCAAAAGTTAACTTCATCGAATGATTTTGAGAACAAAGTCAATTACAATGAATTATTCCTTTGTCCTGAAAGAATCTTATGGCAGCCTCTTCGTCATTAGGTAATTTCCAAATTGTATTGTCCATCATACTAAAAAAATGGAAAAAAAAAGGTGTGATATTTTAAACCAAAACTGGAAATCTCAAGCCACAATATTTGGCATGTTATTGTAGCATTGCTTTTTTCTTTTTAACTGACGCCGCTCTAATAGAATAGTACCGAAAACATTTATGATGTTTCTGGTCCAAGAGTTCCTCCCTTTCCTTTTGAACTTTTTTATATTTTTGCTATGCCTTAGAAAGTTACATGAAAATATAAACTGTGATAGTTTTTGGTTACAATACATAAAATATGTTTTAAATTCATATCTCAAAATGTTATGTAGAACTTTTAGCTAATCTTTGGAATATGGTAACAGGTAGTTTGGCGACATTTTGGTAAGGCGATAAAGGTTACTAGCTAGGACTTTAGCAGTGTGCATGGATATAGTCAAGAGTGTGCGCAGTGCCATTTTTGTGCAATTCTGGGATGTTTTTTTAAGTGAAAATAGGTTGACCTGTACATGGATGATACCGTGTATGTGCAGTTTGTAAAAACGCGGCAAGCAGTGGGCGATTCTGCACTTTGTTCCAATTTCGCACCTAATCTTCGTCATGATTAAGCACTTTTGTTCCATAAAAGTTCTAGCATAAGCGTAATTCGGCCAGCAGATTGTTGGAAAAAAATGTTGGAAATGTGAGTAAAAAAAAAAAAAAAAAAGCCTTTACTTCGTGAAAACAAAATGGCGTCCAAACAAAAACTAGCAGGTTGCTGTAGCAGGGTTGGTCGCCAAACTTTCGTCAAAAAATCGCCAAGTTACCATAATCCAAAGATTAACCGAACATTTTTCAATAACGTATGACCATAAGTAATGTTGTTTTGCTGACAGAATTTATTAAAACATGTTTTAATCAGGGCTGTGGAGTCGGGCAGATTTTGGGGTAAAAATAGTGTGAGCTGGAGTCACTAGAAACAGGTTGACTCCGACTCCAGCTTTTGTTGGATGGTTTGAATTTGAAATGAAATTAAAATGAATTGAAAAAAATTAATGACAAGCTGAGTTATTATTTTTATTTGTGGACAATATGCATTAATAAATAGTTATTTTCTATTTTATTGACATATTAATAAATAAATATAAGGGAGAAGGATAGATGTGATATTTGCCATTATTGATTAAACTGATTCATTTAGTTACAGATCTCATTGGTAAATTTAGATAAGTAGCAATAGCATCAAAAACTCCTAAAATTGATGCCATTCTTAGGAAGTGAGCAGGGAAAGGATCAATTATTGATCAAGCAACACAATAAGGAAGTACATATTTGATGATAAAGAGGTTTTTTATAATTAATAACTTTTTTAGAAGATGTAGATAACCCTAATGTTTCACTAACAGAAAGACCGTGGAATGATCTTGCAGAATTAGAAACTCATCTTTCTACACTGTTATAAAAAAGCTACAATCTGAAGAATTAATAGAAGGAAGAATGAAATATGATGTTTGTTCTTTCTGAAATGGAGGGCTTATTGCAGAAGGAATCATTTCTCCAATGAAGAGGAAAATAGTTTGCTAGACAGTGAGATCTTGCTGAGTTCAATACAATATGCATATCCAAAAACCAAATTTTGTTGAATGACAAACAAATTAAAAAGGTAAAGAAAGCCATCTATGAACTTTCATTAAAAATGAGTTAAAATGAAATACATTTGGAGTATTCAAATCAAAACAGTCAGAACAGTTTTTCTCTATCTTCTTCTCCAACAGAAAATGAAATATTTCCAATTCCAGTGACCTTTATTCTTTCTGAATTAGCAACTTAACTTCAGATGTGTACTTCTTAAGGTCTGAGAATTTTCTTTTATCAGAGGTCATGTGTTCTGTAACTCCACTGTCTAAAATCCACATATTACTTTTTCTCGATTTTTCTTCATTTGCCAGAAGTGCAATGTGCGTCTTTAGGTCAACTGCAGTTTTGGCACTGTTTTGGTTCTGATATTTGGCCTCTTCACAATTTTTAGAGATGTGCCCCCATTGGCCACAGCTGAAGCATTTAGTATTTCTTCCTCTCTTAGTTTCTTCTTCATTTGGCCTTAGCTGCATACTTCTTCACGGGTTTTCAAAATGCAGGCTTCTTCTGGTTGGTGGTGTGGTCGCTTATGATAGAACACCACATGAAAATTTTATTGAACGCCCCAAAAATGACTACATACTATCAACAAGAGAAAAACCTAAATCTTTTTCTTAAAATCAAATTCTGTACATTTTACGTGCGAGAGCAATATGTGGCTCTCAAGCTCGCGTTTTTAACATTGCCAACAATTTAATTATTTTAATGAGAACTATTTTAACAACTATTGAAAACGTATTCGGAAGTTAAATAATAATGATTTTATCTTATGTTCACGAGACATCCTTGTCCATTTTAATCTTCAGTTTCTTCTTCCTTTACGTGACCTTATCACAGTGGTAAAACTTTTAGTATGAAGAGCTTGTTCTTCATGACACCTTTTGGCTGAACTCTCATTTCTAACTATACGTTTCTCTTCTACAAGTAGCCTTGGTTTCACAATTGTTTTTGTCAGATTCGTCTTTTTCCAAACTTAGGATGAGCCACTTAGGAAAAACTTCTAGGCAGTCTCAATAGCATCACTAGGGCCACTTCTCTATCTGTGAATGCATATCTAACAGTAGCTAATTTTCTTTGTAAGTCCATTAATCTTGCTGGATACGATTGGGCAAGCTCATTTGGCTTCATATTTATGTTAAAGAATTCTCTCGTAAGTTGTAGTACGTGAAGCAAACCAAATCTTGTGTGCATTTCTTTTAAACAGTTCCAGGCATCTCTGGCTCTAACAGAATCTCTGATATCATCTAGAAACGTATCTCTTCAACTATGAGGAATAATAGGGTAAGAACGTCGTCATTCTTTTTCCTCTCCGCTTCATTCATTTCACTTCCATATCCGGGTTCCACTGCTTCCCAACATCTCTTTTGCACCAGCACGGCACGCGAATGAATAAATATATCGAGCTAAATTCACCAGAAAAGCTATTTATTTACTTCGTCAAAGGATGGTTATCCAATTCATTTCAGATTCACAATGTGGTTAGGCTTCGGTGATCGATGTGGTTAGTCTTTGGTGCGATCTTCTATCCTGGATCGTTATGGCGTTTCCTTTTGAGCTTCGTGCTGATAACGTGTTAAAATCTAAATTATTCGTGGGTTAAGTAAATGACATAGTCCAGGTTGAACAATCAAATATATTGGGAATATTTTGGTTACATGGAAACGAGCACCACAGTAATGCACACCAGATACGGACAACACACCTGTTGCCAACTAATATTAAGTGAATATTGTGGTTGGCACGCATATCTTATTTTTTTTAATAGTTTGTTCTTTCTGAAATGGGGGGGGGTTATTGCAGAAGGAATCATTTCTTCAATAAAGAAAAGAGAAACTAGTTTGCTAGACAATGAGATCTTGCTGGGTTCAGTATATGTAGATCCAAAACACCAAATTTTCTTGGAGGACGAACAAATAAAAAAGGCAAAGAAAGCCATCTATGAACTTTCGTTAATAACGAAATTATTCTCAGAACAATAGGAGAATTTAAATCAGGACAGTCAAACTGCAGACATTGCAACTGAGTCTCTATCATCCTCTTCCAGTAACGAATTAGATTATGAGAAATATTTTAGATAACAGTGCAAAGGCTAAGGCGAAACAAATAAAAATAAAGAATCAAGAGCCTTTAGATGTAAAAATGAAAAAATACAAATAAGATTTCTACACGGCCTTTGAAGAAATTGAGAAATATGATGGCACTTGCACATGTAGGCAAGATACCTCTTTTAGAACTTATAGAACTCTATCCTGAAAAGTTAAAAGAAGTAGCCCTAACAGTAACAGCTCTTCCTCCTACTCAAGTTAGTGTGGAAACTCTTCTCAGCTCTGAAGTTTATCAAATCAGATCTATGGCACTCCAACAAAGATCTTGCTGAAGCTATAATGTGTCTTAGAAATAACTAATACCAGTTTTTCCATTTTGTAAAAAAGGCTAATTAATATAAATAATTTGCTATGCCATCATTTTTTTTTTTTTTTTTTTTTTTTTTTTTCTGTAGCATCTGTTACTTCTTTTATATTAAAGAAATAAGCTGTAACCCATGTGTATAACTTTACATATGTATATCTTAAATTCATTTAGTGCAAAAACAAGTTATTTACTACTTGCGCAATTGCTGCAAAGTAAGTTAATAATAATTTATTTACTAAATAATATTGATTATATTATCTCCTAAGTTTAATTATAGTAGAATTATGTTAAAAGAGTGAATCCATACTTAGTAAGTTCTATTTTAAAAGATGTTTTGAAGTAACTTGAATGTAAATTGTTAAAAATGTTTTAACGGGGACTGGAATTAAAGCATTATATATATATGAGGGAGTCGGAGTCTTTAAATTTCCAGGAATGGGTCATTTTCCCTACTGACCCTGGTTTTAATATGACTGAACAATTGGTTTTAATGGATGTATAAATACCACTCAACAAAGACAGTTTCATTCAGATAAATTATAGACTACATGCTTGCAGGTACTAATTTGTTGTTTTAATAGCTCCTCATGAACATAGCAGTGTCAGAAGAGCACGTCAGAAACATCATCTTTACGAGTATAAAAATGAGATGTGGTGGAATAATTTTTGTATAAATTTTAACAAAGCAGCGTTACATTGAAGATGCCAGCCACTGTGAATTTTTTTTTTACTGATATGTTGGAAGCTGCATTTGATTGAAATTCATATGAAATCGATGAAGAATTGACAGAATAGGTTAATTTATCATCAGCTGCTCATCTCCTTGGAAGAAACTAAGAATACTTTCTAAGTTTGTCGGAGGTTCCATATGAACTTACTGATGTGAATCGATAAGAACTCATGAACATTTATGTTGCTGTTCATTCATGTGAAAAAATTCGTCATTTTTTGAACCATTTAGAGACTGGTGATGATATGTGACTGGAGATTTGAAGCTTTCAAAATTTCATTGAGAATATTATTCTCATGAGGCACTTTAAACTGGAATAAGACCTTTTTGTACAATAAAGTAGGTGATATTTTAGGAATGTCATAAAAAAAAATCTGATACAACATTAAAAGAGTGTTATTTCTGTAAATAATTGATTAAATTCGTATATTATTTTTTATTTCTTTAGAAAATTACATTACTTATGGGATGACCTAATAAAATATCTTTTATGTGTTGATGAATGTGAGTAAAAGAATTGAATTATGTTATATTTTCATAGGCTCATGTAAAATTCCCTGTTGATTATCCATATTCACCTCCCTCTATTCGTTTCCTAACAAAAGTTTGGCATCCTAATGTATACGAGGTAAGTTATTAAGAATGTAATTCATTTAAATTCTTTCCTCAAGTTGTTTAAATAGTATAAATTTTTTTAAGATATTGCAGTAACCAATGGTGAGAAACAGAATCATTGTATATAATGTATATAGGAGCATGTAAAAGTTTAGAGACTTTGTATATAATTCCTTACCACAAATGATTTAAAGCAGCTATCTTCAAAATACCCTTCCTCCCAATGTAATAATACATTTTTATCAGAATTCATATAGCCATTTTTTCTGACTACTAGAAATGCACTGCTGCTTTTATCTCATTTGTTGAAATGCAACAGTATTTCTGTAATCTTTGTTACATCAATGAAGAAACATAAAAATCATAGGACCTAAGTCAGGTGGGTAGATATAATATACAAGCATTAAGCAGTTTGGCAAGAAAGATTTACTTTCATGGAGAAGATATTTTCTGCTTTGCTACATCCGAGGCTATTTTAAAGACATAGTGGAGGGATGGTAGGATAGTAGTATCTTGTTGTAACAAATGGTGAATGCTTAGTTGATGTGTGCTATTCGCTATTGATGATTATCATGACTTTTGTTCCACTAAATTTTGTCTTGCTTCCGTGGTGTGCTATAAAAGGTTAAGTCTAAATTATGGTAGTTTAATTATTTGTTATACTAACTTAGTGTGATCATTATGCAGGGTTGCCACGCTACCTGGAAAACCGGAAAAAGTCAGGGAATTCGGAAATTGACCAAAAAATTCAGGGAAAAGCCAGGGAATTTTAAGTGTTTTCGTCAAAATCCTGGAAAAGTCAGGGAATTTCATACAACGATCCCGCAAAAAAAGGCTAGTTTTGTGCCGACGTCGGAAGAGATCACTTTTTTGGCGAATTGTGTATCACGTGAGTGTCATTCGGGCAGCTGGCATAGAGCCAATTTTCGCAGCTCCAATTTGATTGTCTTTTAAGAAGGCAAAGCAAGTTTCCCGCAATTTTTGGTTTCCAGTAACCTCGAGAATCACGTGTGCAGTGCATGAACTAAAGAAAGTACCTGTTCTCGTATATGAAACAAAATGGGTTTAATTCTTAGTATATGGTACCATGAAGGTTAGAATAAAAAAATATGTATTATAAAGAAGGAAAACCTTCTCTGCAACAAACGGTGGCTCCGTTCCATCATAGAGGGGAAACAGCTGTGCATGCGCGATATATCTGTCGCCAAAGCTCAAAAACCGGTGTCGAAGTTCGAAGGTCACGTTATCAAGAGTTCATAAAATGAATATCGTTTAAAATTTCTTTAAACTCTAAAGGAAAAGAAAATATTTTTTGGCGCAAGTAAATTAATTCATGGATTAGTTATTTTGAGGGGGGAAAAAAAAACTACGAAAATCCGTCTTTAAAATTATTGTGAAAAATCCAAGAAAAAACGTTTCTTCTTGGATTTTTCGCAATAATTTAAAAACGGATTTTCGTAGTTTTCTTTTTTGTCAAAGAACCAGAGTCGTAGCTAGGGTTTTTAGCGCTAGGGGACAACTGAAGATTTCGCGCCACTTCTGCTTGCCAAGGATGGAAAAGATTTAATTCTAAAATATCGCAACATCAGTTTGGCGCCCCTCGGATTCTGCGCCCGGGGACAGATGCCCCACTCTAGCTACGCCCCTGCAAAGAACGTTTCTTCTTAACACGTGTTTCTCAATTTCCTGCACACATCGCGGAGAGGGAAATTCTGGCCGCCAGGTTCCGTCGCCAAATCCCTTGGCAAATTTTCCCTCCGCTTTCTAGCCGCGTAATAACATTTACGTGTATGGAACCTTTTCTTCTTTACATAGACGTTCTTTGGTTAGAATAATCTCCATGTATGGTACAGCGGGATTTGGCGACATGATGATGAGCAGTAAACGGGTCATTTTGTTCTTGGCGACAATTTTCAAAATCGTGCGAAGGCCGAACCGTATACTAGGATTTTACCGCAAAAATCTTTTTTTTTTTTTTTTTTTTTTAATAAATACCTTGTCATTCTGCAGTAAAATAAAAAAATAGTAATCAGTCATCTAGGCTAACCATGTAATATAACTATATTCACTAAAATATCGTTTATTTTTCTAATTCAATTTTTAAGTAATTATCTTTATTTTTATGTTATTCCATATCATTTAACGTTGCTTCTTTCCCTTCTAAATTTATTTATTATTAGTAAATAATATTTCCAAATTTCAGGAAATTTTCTCTGGCATAATCCTTGAAAACTAATTCTAGCAGTATGATGACATACTATCACGAAATTTTAATGCACATATTTTTTCCTTATGTATGCTGTGAAATAAATATAAAATACCTCAATTTAGTAAAAAAATATCATTAAATAGATTTCTTTCTTTCATTTAGCTGCAGAATGTCTGCAAAAAAAGCTTTTATTTTATTCCAGATTGGGCAGATTCTAATCTCAATCTTCAGTGGAGAAAAGAACTCCTATTATAATTATATTTGTGTTTTCAAGTGTTAAGGTGCCTTATAAGAAGACACCTCACACAAATTAAATTTACCTAAAATCTAACCTAACTTTTAGCATTGCGTTGTGATTTATAAGAACCAGATTAGCCTCATGTTGAACTGGTGATGATCATGAGTAATAATTAAATAAAACATACAATTGTTATCCAATGTATATATCTTAAATTTTATTAAGTTTCTTAAGTGGAAAAGTAAACAAAGTTATCAAACAAAGTGTACCAAGAATAATTAAGAATAAATGTCCTCTGGGATTTATTGAATAATAAAGTGAATTTGCTACACAATACAAGTAATACCATAATTAATTTACCTCTTAACACAGCCAACGTACATTACGTGGATAGACTGGAATTTTCTCGAAACATACCTGGAAAACCTGGAAAAGTCAGGGAATTTCATTCTCCTGTTTGAGTGGCAACCCTGTTTATGGGTAGTAGCTTATTACGTTTGGAATGTTCGAAGTCCTACTTCCTAGTCATTCTGACAAAATCTACATATGCAGGTGCCTGAAAGAATCAACTCTTGCATTAAGAACTACATGTGATGATTACAAAAGAACGTTTTACACAAAACCTGCGTCCTACACATGAACGTACATAATATGAAACGTACATAATATAAGTTAGATTTGCAATATGAACAGGGTTTGTATGGTCCTTTAAAAAGTCCTTAAGTGTTTTGGAAAAAAATTTTGGACCTTAAAAGTCTTTTAATTTCAGCCAATATCGGCAGAAGGTCTCAAATTTTATTCATCTGACATTTCTTTGTTTTTTTATGACCATCATTTTGAGTGAAAATTAACATTTTGGAGGAATATTTCTTGGCGATTCATTGACATAAATGTATATGATGGGTTATCTTATGAATTCATTCTTACTTCTAAATATAAATAGTGCAATACCTATGTTTCTAGGCACGAGGCCCTACTTTTATTATAATATAAACATTTAATTTTTTTTTTTCGAAAAAAGAGTTGATAAAATATTACATAAAAAGATAACATTTCTCTTCCTGGGATATGAATTCTTTTGTTATATGGGCAAAATGTGGCAACTTAACAGCTTTTGGAAATTTAAGATAAATTTTTATTTAAAATTTTTGATTTGATAATTTGTGGATTTTTTGACGACGCCGCGGCGCGCAATGAATTGGAAGTTGATCTGTCACCACTATCCTTTTCTTCAGGGCAGATGTTTTCATTTTATTTGGCTTAAAATTCCTTACTAAATGTAGTATTTCATCTCGATGTATTCCGTCTTTGATATGATTTAAATCAAATTCCTCGTTGTTATAATTTGCTTCCGATAGTGAAGAAAGTGACACAGAGGTTATTGAAAACGAAAAAATTTCGATTGACAAATTAGTCGGTATTCTCGACACAGCAATTATAGGGAAATTAGTCGGTATTCTCGACACAGCAATTATAGGACTTGAACAGTGGAACTTTGTAACTGAACAAGAAATTATGTCTGTTTATAGAATTAAAGAGAAAGTATTATCACATAAAAAGAAGCAACTTAAACAACTTACATTGAAAGAAATGTTTAATAAAGTAAACAAATAAATATTAAGCTTTTTTTTTTTTTTTTTTTTTTTTTTTTTTTTTTGTAAATTTTCATATCCTTTAGATCATAATTGTTCTTTATTTCATAAAGTACGGTTTCATATTTTTAATTTTATAATTTCTGCATGCTATCTAACCAAATTTAAACTGATGATCTATAATCTGGTATCGCCGAAGTCCCGACGAGTCCGGATTACGACTTTTGACTGTATTTATTTGTTTACTTTATTAAACATTTCTTTCAACGCGCGCATACGTAAAGCATACATTATGCATAGTCAAAATTAAAAAATTGCAACCAGAAAACTATTTGATGTGTATTCGGGATATTTATAATGACGAGGTATTTGATTTAAATCATATCAAAGATGGAGTACATCGAGATGAAATACTACATTTAGTAAGGAATTATGAGCCGAATTAATCAGAAACTTAAAGAGTATAACATAATCATTATCAAAAAATTACACTTAGTTGATCATTCATTAATCCCAAGGGTTTTTCCTTTAAAGAATATTACACTATTAAAGACACAGCAAATATTTTACCTGATCTTTAAATACTGGCATTCAATACGCAAAACACATATCACTGAACAAAAACTACGCGGTTATTATGAAATTCACTTTACTATCAATAAGTCCATGCTTTGTGGTCAAAAAGGCACCTGAAAAATTAAATTAAATCCTTGAGAGCGCGTAAACCGGCAAAAAGACGCTCACTGTAGTTACACACGAGAAATCACAGCTTGGAAAAACATTGCCGCTGATTCTGGAAAAACACTTATATTGAAGATGCTGCCTTCATGAAAACAGGATGCCACCCACGGCAGTTACTCACTGGAAATCACAGGTTGGTTGGAATCTATTGCCGCCGAACCGTAAAAACAGGATGCCGCCCACTCACAGTCGCTCAGCCTCTTTTGAAACCAGTCACTCACATCGTAGCCTCTTTTCAGAAATCCAGAAAAAGTCATCTTTGGAGCAGGAATCACGGTATTAATCGCTGGCTGGCATGCACCGCAATATCGTCTTCCAATGGGGTCCGGAACGGCACACCACGGAGCAATGAAACAGGAACCAGAAGGGATAAACCAGAGTAATGCGAGATACTTATACCTGAAGTAGACATGACGTCATCTCACGGCAATCAAGCTATCGGCACGACTGAGCTTTCCAGATGACGTAACATCAAGTTTCGTTTTTGCATCTTAATTAGGTTGGAACTGTCCATTCTTAATACAAACAGTGGCAGTGAAAAACGAAGTAATTGCTATGTCTCTTTAAAATAAGAACTAAACCTTATGTAAAAGTTAGAATTATTTCAATGAGGAGAGATGATGCAGAAAAAGGGTTACAATAGGTCATATTTTCCAACAATCTGTCAGCACTATCCTTATCTTCAGGGCAGATGTTTTTATTTTATTCGGCTTATAATTCCTTAACTAAATGTAGTATTTCATCTAGATGTATTCCGTCTTTGATATGATTTAAATCAAATTCCTTGTCATTATAAATATCACGAATACACATCAAATAGTTTTCTGATTGCAATTTTCTAATTTCGACTATGCACAATGTATGCTTTACGCATGTGTGCATTAAAAGAAATGTTTAATAAAGTAAACAAATAAATATAAAGCTTTTTTTTTTTGTAAATTTTGATCCTCTTTAGACCATAATTGCTCTTTATTTCATAAATTACGGTTTCATATTTTTAATTTTATAATTTCTGCATGCAATCTTACCAGATTTAAATTTATGATCTATAATGCGAAAAAACCTATAATCTGGAATCGCCGAAGTCCTGACGAGTCTGGATTAAAGACTTTTGACTGTATACATCCATGCAGATTCTTCAGTATTTAATTTCTTTAAATAAAATACAGGGCTCTAATATTTGAGGAAACAATATGAAAAGGGAAACACCATTTTATAGTGGATGGCACAAAATGCCAAAACGAAATTAATAACCCTTCGGAGCAAACTGCCCACCCTTTTTTTTACTTATTATGTGCTTTACCTTTCGGCACTACATTGAAAGAGAGGAATACCCCGTGGAGGTCTTTTTAAGGGAAACTGGCTTGTCCCTACGATACAAAGGGGAAAAACCATAAAAACGCCCATGCAGCAAGCCCGTTTTCCAAGACTCTAACCCTGGACTGAACTACCATTGTTCAGTGCCATTTACCACTTGAAATCGCACCTTTGGGCTAAAAAAAGATTAAAACACTAAAATTAGAGGATTTGAGAACAGTGTGTGGCTCTTGTAGAAAAAAGTTTTTGAAAATGTTAAATCAAGGGAATATATCATTGATTTTGAGATAATTTAACAAGTCTTAATTTTTACAAGTTTTAGGCTGGATCATTCTTAATAAGCAGTTTAACTTGGTGAGCCTATTTAACAAACGAATAGAATGAAGCTAACAATTTCTATTCATGGGCAATGAAAGTTTTGTGTGCGATATTTTATAATTATTCAAGCCGTAGGAAACATTGAAAGATATCTTGCTTCACCTTTATATTATCCTTAATATATTATATTAGAAAATGTAAAAATCTCAACTGTTGTCCATTTATTAAATTTCTATTATATGAGTCATTTGATAAAATCCGGCTTATTATTTTTTGCAGACTGTTGGAGCAATTTTATAAAAGTAAGCTTGAACTTTCAATTATGTCAAATAGAATTTCTGATATATATTTACTAATATGTAAAGGATCTACAAAGCGAAAGTATGTTTCGAAGTCCATTAAACAAAAAGTGGAATTACTGCGAAAAATGGATAAAGGCATATCCTTTGTTTATCTAACCATTCCGAAATCTGTTTATGAAATCTGTTTATAAATTTCACGCTGCTCTGAGGCGGGGGGGGGGGAGGAGGAAGCATAGGCGCGCGATGAATTCGAAGTTGATCTGTCAGCACTATCCTTATCTTCAGGGCAGATGTTTTTATTTTATTTGGCTTATAATTCCTTACTAATGTAGTATTTCATCTCGATGTACTCCGTCTTTGATATGATTTAAATCAAATTCCTCGTCATTATAATTCGCTTCCGATAGCGAAGAAAGTGACACAGATGTTATTGAAAACGAAAAAATTTTGATTGACAAATTAGTCGGTATTCTCGACACAGCAATTATAGGACTTGAACAGCGGAACGTCGTAACTGAACACAAAATTATATATGTTTATAGAATTAAAGAGAAAGTATTATCACATAAAAAACGAAGCAACTTAAACAACTTACATTGAAAGAAATGTTTAATAAAGTAAACAAATAAATATTAAGCTTTTTTTTGTAAATTTTGATACCCTTTAGATCATAATTGTTCTTTATTTCATAAATTACGGTTTCATATTTTTAATTTTATAATTTCTGCATGCCATCTTACCAGATTTAAACTGATGATCTATAATCCGGAAAAATCGATAATCCGGAATCGCCGAAGTTTCGACGAGTCCGGATTAACGACTTTTGACTGTATAAAAAGTAAGCTGAAATAAGTAAAACAAATATAAAAAAATAGTATCATAATGAATATTATTATAATTCTTGGCCGAACTCTTTAAGAAATGAATTGTCAGCAGATATTTGGAGTCAGAATCGGAGTTATGCAGGTTTGGGAGTAAAAGATGTTGGAGCTGGAGTTGCTAAAAACACATTGATTCCAGTTTATGTTGGGTAATTTGAATTCGATATGAGATTAAAGTGAATTGAAAAAAAAAATTTAGTAACAAACTGAGTTATTATTTTTATTTATGGACTATATACATTAATAAATAGTTATTTTCTATTTTAGTGACATATTAATTAATAAATATATACATATAAGAAAGGAGAATGGATGTGATATTTGTTATTATTGATTAAACTGATTCATTTAGTTACAAATCTCATTGGTAAATTTAGGGAAGCAGCAATAGCATCAAAAACTCTCAAAATCGATTCCAATTTTAGGAAGCGAACTGAAAAAGGGGCAATTATTGATCAAGCAATGCAATGGGGAACTACATGTTTGATGATATAGAGGTTGTTGGAATTAAGAACTTTTTTAGAAGATATAGATAACCCTAATGTTTCACTAACAGAAAGATTGTGGAATGATCTTGCAGAATTAGAAACTCTTCTTTCTACACTGTTATAAAAAAAGCTACAATCTGAAGAATTAATAGGAGGGCAAGAATGAAATGTGATGTTTGTTCTTTCTGAAATGGAGGCCTTATTGCAGAAGGAATCATTTCTTCAATGAAGAAAAGAGGAAAATAGTTTGCTAGACAGTGAGATCTTGCTGAGTTCAGTATATGCATATCGAAAACACCAAATTTTGTTGAACGACAAACAAATTAAAAAGGCAAAGAAAGCCATCTATGAACGTTCATTAAAAATGAATTAAAATAAAATGAAATGCTATTGGAGTATTCAAATCAGAGCAGTCAAACTGAAGACATTACTATTGAGTCTGTCTCTTCCAGCAATGAATTAGCTTTTTAAAAATATTTGGATAATACTAAAAAGGCTAAGGTAAGGCGAATGGAAATAAAGAACCAAGAGCCTTTAGATATAAAAATAAAAAAATACAAACAAGATTTGTACAAAGCCTTTGAAGAAATAGAGAAATATGATTGCTCTTGCTAGACTCTTCTTTTAGAACTTATAAAAATATGTCCTGAAAAGTTAAAAGAAGTAGCCCTAACAGTAACAGCTCTTCCTCCTATTCAGGTCAGTGTGGAAAAACTCTTCTCAGTTCTGAAGTTTATGAAATCGGATATATGGTCTTGCGAACAAAAAGAACAAAGAAGGTCTTGCAAAAGCTATACTGTTTCGTAGAAATTACTTATACCAGTTTTTCCATTTCATAATAAATGCTAATTAATATAAATAATTTGCTATGCCATCATTTTTTTTTCTGTAGCATTTATTATTTTTTTATATTAAAAAAGGAATAAGCTGTAACACATGTGTATATGTTTACAAATACAATGAGGGAGTCAGAGAGTTGGTCATTTTCCCTACTGACTCCACAGCCCTAATTGTCAGTCTTTTACATGTTAAGAAACAGATGATAAAATATTGTGAAAAGATACGATTAAGTAATATCCTGCCAATTCATGGATTTGATTTCTGTCATGTTAGTAAAATTTGTATTTTTTTTTACTGCATGGTGTAAAGTATTCAGTATGTTAAAAATTGTTACAAATTAGTTAAATTTTACAACTATGAAATTGACTGTGGGTCAGGGAAGCTCACATTACGGTATTTCTGTATTATAATGCACTGCATAATAGGAACTGCTCAGTGTACTTTGAAATTTGTATGTTCCATATTGGCAATAAGGTTTGTCAATTTGCGAACTGGGTACGATGGCTATTTTGAAGAGGAAGTACCTTAATTATTTTCTTTTAGATCAAATAAGCAAATTTAAATCTCTCTCATTCTCTATATTCATATAGTATATAACTAATCTATGTGTACATGTGCTAAAGATCTTAACCTAATTTTTCTTTAAGTGTGGAACATTTAAATGTATTTTTCTTGTTGCAAGAATTTTTGAGATTAATGGTTTTAATCTGCTAATGAGATATGCAGCATTGAAACTTGTGTATTTTAAATTAAGGTAAGTTATTTGAATTTGCTACGTTAAATTTAGTTGTAAGTAATCAAATAGCCAATAATGAAGTTTAGTATTCCAAATCCTTCATTTTATGAAAACTTTGCACATGATTTTTCCCCCCTTTTAGAATGGGGATCTCTGTATATCTATTTTACATCCACCTATTGATGACCCTCAGAGTGGAGAACTGCCTTGTGAACGCTGGAATCCAACACAAAATGTTAGGTATGTAAATATGTGTACATACTCTTCATCTAATAATGTATATATTTTTTGTAATGGTTTTCAAAAACAGTTTGCAATTAAAATAAAGGGGAAATATACGATGTATACAGAATAATGTGTAGACAAAAGTAACTAAATTAGTAGCTTAGTCTACTTTATATGCTTTTTCCTGTGTTTGTGTTCATCTAGCATTATATTTTTAAGGTAATGTTCAACTTCTCCCATAATGGAAATTAGATCGTGTAGAACAGTTCAAATGAGTCATACTTTATATTCATTTGTGCTGTTTTCGATAGGCTGACTGTATGTCTTATTTTAATTTTTAATTTTGTCTTATTTTTAGCATTTTAGTTCTCTGCCTTAAAATCCTGTTATATAAAATTTTGAGTTTAACCCTTTGTTATAAGCACTTTAAAAATGTCAATTATAATAAGCAGTAGAGATGTGCTGATCAAGATTGGAAGGAATGGCAAAATATACGTTTACAACACTTGTGCATCTTAATTGTAGTGTTTATTTTTAGTTTTTATTCTTTGATGTTATTGATTTCAGCAATGCATGTCACATTTTTTTTTGTCTTGCATTTTTATCATTTTATTGTGGTAAATTTAGAATATCAAAAAGGAAGAAATGTATTTTTAACAGCAATCTTCAGAACAAATTAAAATTTATGAACTAATTAAATTATTTAGTGATGAGACTAATGAGGTGTTGTTTCTACTGCTTTGCATATCGAAAAATCAAAATTTGTCACATAAAAAATGAATACATATGAATGAAATGAATTCAAATGAAGAATGCATATTTTATGATTAGAAAATGCAGTATTCTTCGGCATCAGCTTAAAGTTTTTGTAAGCATTAAAGTTTGTTTGGCCTTTGAGGAGATTTTAAATCCAATTTTTTTAAAGTAATAATACAGTTTTGATCATCATTCTGTATTATAAAAATTTTGCTGTCTGTTCTAATTTTGTCTAAGTGAAATATAACCATCATATAAAACTGTATGGTATTTTAATCAAAAGTTTACAATTTTTAATAATACAATTATGTATTGAAAATTTGAAAATGTATAATAGTGGTTTAATAAACTATCAATCGCATCATTTATTTCCCTTAATCTTATTGTAAATGACATCATTACAAATGCATTTAGCAGTGACTATAAAAATATATAACAATAACTACTGTTTTGTGTTTATTTAGCAGTCACATTTTTGGTTTTCTGTAGTATAATATAAGCATGATTTATATATATATATATATATATATATAATACATATATTTAAAAAAAAAAAAACTGGGATTTTCAGTACTTTAATAACTATGAGTGGTCTTTAATTGATGTGATATTTCAAGAATATAATTGGATTACATAAAATGTAAGATTACATTGTGTTTCCATAATTCATGGTTGAGTGCTTTTTTGTTGTTTATAATGAAATATTAATAATATTAGCTTCTTCAAATGTACCTTTGTATAAATGTATATTTGATTCAAATTTTAAAATTAATGTCATATTATTAGACATGATTTAAAACATTTCAGATTCACATTACTTTCATAGCTATTAGTTTTCTTTACTATCACAAACATCAATTTATTTCTGTTCAAATCAGCACAAGAAGTTTATATGCTACCTTAGTAAGTATCCAGATTTATTCCAATATTTTTTCTGAAAGATACTGATAATGTATGATTTGGTCAATTAATGAATAACATTCACAGCACTTTTTAAAAAATCTGAAGTGAAATTCTCTTCCAAATGTATTTTATGTAAATATATCATGCTATGTATAACTAAGACATTATTTGTAAATAGAATAATAATGAGTATTATTTCTAAAAGGGTCTGTTGTGGCATTTGGAATTACTATTTAAGTTTTTTCTTCCTTTTTTTATTGTAGCTTTGCAAAATTTATTTTTTCTTCTGTTTTTGGAATTAAAAATTAAATAGGATTAATTTGTTTTAAAGCATATTTTCTAGTTTCGTAAATATCTTATGTTGAATAATTTTGAAGTTGTATTTGATTTCAGGACAATATTACTAAGTGTAATATCATTGCTAAATGAACCTAACACATTTTCTCCTGCCAATGTTGATGCATCGGTTATGTATCGTCGCTGGAAAGAGTCTAAAGGAAAAGATAAAGAATATGAAAACATCATAAGGTAGGCATATAACTTTTAAATAATTATTAAAGTATCATGATATAATTATGTATTTCCAGACATGTGCCTTTGCTCACAGCAAAGCAAATGTCTTAATTACATATTTTCATCATATATAGCTAATACGGAATTTTGCACATTTATTTCTGGAAGAATTTATTTATGCTTGCATCTAATCCAGTGTTAAAGCTTTTACCATCGTTCTAAATGCACATCAAAAGATATAATAAATGCCAAAACAACATATAGGGAAATAAATAAAAGCTCTGTGTGTATTTTAAAAATAAAACATTAATTACTACTTTCTAAAGAGCTGTTTTGCTTTCTTTTCTGTTATCAAAATCAACGATGTATTCTTGAAGCTTATTTCATTACTTCAGTTGCTGTTACAGTAAGATTTCTTAAATGAAAGGTAGTTACTCATTTTGAGGTCTTAAATGGTTCTCATGTGATTTATATTTAGGACAATACATATCCAATAACTCTGAGAAAAGTTTATATTAGGGTATTATTACATTCAGTCTTTTTTAGAATAAATTGTGGAAGTTTAAAGGGATAATCTTTTTATGTCTCTGTTACATCTATCTATCTACCCCAGCTGTAACAGAAATTTTGACTTCAAATATTTCTGACAGAATCCTTCCTAATTAGTGTTCTAATTAACTGACATTCTTATTTTTCATTTAAATGATTTGACAGACAGAATAAGGGAAAGCTTGGCAAGAGGATGAGTCTGTTGGAATCATATTCAGATTTCTTTGAATAATCTATCCATTGTAAAAATTCTATCCTTAATATTCTATCCAGTGTTCTTTCTTCAATTCAATTTTATATGACAGTTCAACACTTCATGGTTCTTACTTCACTTGTGACTGAAAGAATTAGTTTGATAATTTTTTATTTCTTAAAAGACAGACCATTTCGTATGTAGTGTAACATATTTTGCAGTTTTTATCGAAATAACAGATGAGCATCTCATATAAATTACATAAAATTTATTCTCAATTCATGAAGATAGCTAATTTAAATACAATTCTGTCTGTTACAGCTTCACACTCCAGCTTACTATTATAGTTTCTTTGTCTATAAATTTTTTATTCACCTACTACTGGTAAAACTTTCAGAATCACAATTTGAAACATTTTCTCATGTTGCTGAGCAACTGCTACATGATACAAATATGGCATTGCCACTCCAGTAGCAAGGATAATAAATATAATTATTTGTTAAATAATAAAAAATTACAACCTCTCCTCCCTTCAAGTAAACTTTAATTGATATTTTTTTCCCTTTTAAAACAATACAATATCATATTCATAATTGAAATACAACATATAACATAATAATGTACAGTCAGAAAGAGAGGAAAGAACAATTTTTTTTTTTCATCTAAATAGAGAAACATAAAAATTCTTTAATCAGACCAAGGAGTACGACTTAATGCATCTATATTTTTATGGTTTTTACCACTTCAATGAACAACAGTGTAATTATAAGGTTGCAATACCAGTGCCCATCTCATAAGTCACAGATTTAGACTGGCGCTGTTTTTGAACCAAACTGATTATGATCAGGATCGGTCAACATGAGGAATTTAGTTTGCCATCTAAATAACATTGCAATTTCTTTACAACTGTAAACTTCTTACTGAGGTATAATACGGGATGTTCATTGTCTCGTTTATGTTTCTGAGCTAAAATAACACCCATACTAAAGTTTGAACCATCAGTTTGCAAAATAAACACTTTATTGAAATCAGGTGCATGTAATAGAGGCTTTTGCAGCAGTTTTACTTCTTTAACAACTTGCGTTTGTCTGTTTTCTTTCTTTTCAGATAGTGTTTGCTCCATGTGAGATGAAAAAAATTTTTTTTGTCTGTTACTTGCATTCTCATTGAATGTGGCAGCTTTGAGTATCCTTTTTCATGTTTATGCCTCTTTGCCAAGTTTTTTAGCGCGTGCTTATCTTCTGAACGTACTTTTTATTTCTCAACTTTAGACTTCATGCGTTCTTTTATCAGAAGTTCTTTGGCCTGCTGTTAACAAACTGTCAAACACATCTTTGCTTTTTGGAGGAGAAGGAACTGGGGAACTTATAGGGGAATAATCATACACACTATCAATAGAAGGTGAGTCAACTTCCGTATCAATAGCTCCAGTTTTGTCACCAGGAGGTGAAGGCTTTCTCTCAGATTTCTGTGAAGCACTGACAGAAACTTAACTATTTGAGTATTGGCGAAATTATGCTGAGTTTTAGCACTATTATTTGTTTGATTTTGCATCAGAGATGTGTAGTTCTGCATTTGATCCTTATATTTTTCAGGAATAATAATAATTCCCTTTTCATTTCCATTTTTATCTATTTTCTTTTTCACCAACAACCTTTTTTTTTTTTTTTTTTTTTTTTTTTTTTTTTTTTTTTTTTTAATTTTGAAATCATTTGTCTTGCTGGAATTTTCATTTTTAGCTTCGCTAAGCAATGAGGCTAGATTTCTGCTCTGGTGTTGAGATTCAATTAATTCCTTAACATTAAATACGTTCTTAATTTCCTTATCTTCCTCATCAGCATGCAGTAAAATATCTCCATCAGTCTCAATAAATGATAGTTCTTCTAGTTTCTCCATTTTGGTGTCTCTACTTTGATCTTCTTGAGATCTTTTTACTTAAGATTGTGTCAAGACCGCATTTACCTTTTCTAAATTAAAGAACGGTTTATCTTTGAACACTCGAGCAGTTTTGTTACCCAATACATATCTGCTGGGATTATTTTTAACAACAGCTGCCTTTGTCTTTGTATGAACAAGTTCACAATTCATTTCAACATCTGCTAATGGTAGGCACACTAAGGGGTCATTTAAAGGATATTGTACCCAGATATGTTCTCCAGTTATTTTTGTGTTATCAATGTATTTTCGAGAAATAACGTCTATGGTGCCTCTGTCTCAAAGAATAGGCATTTCATACCCATTACCTAAATTGTTAATAGTATATGTCTCTAACCAAATCATCATTTAAAGATGTGCCATTTACTTTTTCATTTAGTTCTAAGCAAAGGCATTGAGGCTTAAGATGTTCGTATGACCTGCACTTGAAACAATATGGTCGATATCTCTTGTCATATAAATTTTCTTGGTTCTTATTTTGGAACTGATTTCTTTGTTAGACATCTTCTCTTTGTCGGTGATCTATCTGGTATTTTGAATCATGTCATTTATCAGAATGCTTAAAATGAGGCAGATGCTCTGTTTTTTTTTTTTTTTCACACGATTTTTGTAACGAGGTTTAAATGATCCTTTATTAGTTCTCTCAGTTTGATTGTCAGAAAATTTTGGTTTTATTGTTTTTCTCACACCTTCAAAATCTTCAATTTTCTTAACCATTTCAGCAAATAAAATGATGGGGGTCTACTCATCCATAATATGCTCTTTGAAATCGATGCTTTTTAACTCTTTCGCATCAAGAGCAGCCAAATCTGTTTTACTCAAACATCGAAAACGCCCATGTCTACGAATTTCTTCTGGAATGCTCTTCTTCCCCTCCCCATGGCAAACTGATTACTACAGCGCTAACAATAACCTACTTAAGTAAAGTGAAACCTTCTTTCTTGGACACGTTCACCATGTGTGAAGTTCCTCCTTGGGAGGGGATTGAACCTTCGAACATCAATAGCTAAACATTGACAGTAAACAAAGGAAAAAGAAGGTGCATTAAAATAGCAGAACTATTTTTATTTTCTTCAAAAGAATGATTGACATGTCATTTTACGACTCCTGAAAGCAATGACCAATGCAGTAACATGATGGGGGAAAGCACTAGGTTGGAAATTATTCAGTCATTTCGGGAGACCTTCCGTTATCTGAATGCTCGGGTGTTTGAGGCGACTTTGCTGCGAAAGAGTTAATTTGATCAACCAGCACAAGTTCTTTTAGCTGTTCAAAAACTTTATTGTTTAATCCATTAAGCCATCCTTCTAAATAATTCTTTAATTCATAGTAAAACTCACACCAAGTACTTCCATAAAGCTTTTTGTTGTTTATTAAATAGTTCTTGAAATTTTTCCGCATTCAATTTAAACCAACGTAACAGTAGAGATTTTATATATTTATACTTTTTCGCATCCTCTTCTAGTTCTTTAGTAATAAGCTAAACAATATCAGGAGGCAACAATGAAATAAGTTGAGTCACTTGGTTTTTCAGTAGGTATATTCATAATTTTAGCTTGACTCTCAAATAACACCAGCAATAAATGATTTCATCTTCTTTAGGATTAAAATATGGCATGACATCGGGAATTGTGATTTTCATAGGTTCTATTACAGGAATTTATGTAAAACATTCTGTCCAATTAATTTTCTTTTATCTCGATAGTTATTTCAGTTTGTAGGAAGTTTTCACTTTTCTAGGTGTACAAATAGGAGCCTGAATACTGTGGCCCTTTATACATAAAAAGACCTGTTGTTGGTAATAAATATACCAGCCAGACAAATATGCAAAATCTGTCTTCTTTTGAACCCCAGTTTATTTTCTATTTTATGTCTTGTTGTAATTGTTTATTTTTGAAGTAAGTGTGTTTGATATCTCTGAAAATTTACACCCTTCTCCTATTGAAAAATTCGAAATCATTCAGGATTCTCAGTAAATGTATTTCATTCAATTAGATTCAGAATCATTCAGGATTGTCAAAAGAATGTGTTTCATTGTCCATCAGTAATTGATGGACAATGAAACAATACTGTGAAATAATTGTGCCAAAATAACTCCATGGTTTATTTATATACACATCTTTACACAATATGTAATATCTCTTCATATATTACTATATTCTTACTGCTTAAATTTTGTTATATTCAGTTTAGGGATACTATAATGCCCTCTATGGGAGATTCTGAATGCATGTATTCAACCATTGAAAAAGATAGCATACCTGTTACACAATTAAATTCTTTCTCCGTCTAAAAATAGCTTTAGTAAAAAATGTAGGGTTGTGAATGTCTAAATTTCAGATATGCTACATTTAATTGATTTTCAGAGTTAGATCAGTTTTCTCAATAAGTGAGAAATAAAAAATTTCTAGCTTACGCAAAAAGACCAATGGCCAGATTAAGTCCTGACTGAGGATACCATGAGTCCTAATGTTATGACTTTGGAATGGAAGATTTTTTTTCTTGCTATTTTGTGTGGGTAAATATAATTTGTTAAGTTCATTCATAACAAGTTACAATTCTATTAAGTTTTTGAGTAATTTGCTAGTAGCAAAAAAGACCTCTGCGGTAATATTCTGTATTTTTGCTTATTTGCTTGCTTAATACAGCAACACATGGGAGAAGTATCTACCTAAGGGGAGGAATACTTTCATCACAAACTTTCAAAGGAAGTTGACTTCCACAGAAACATTTACACTGCGAGCATTTTGCTGAGATTTATATTTAGCTCTTTGCTTTTTTAGTGTTCAGCCAGAAGTCTTATCTACTTTGGTGCAGTTGGACCTTGAAATATGTCATGTTCTTTGTGTGCTTTTTTTATGACAGTTAAAAACTAAGTGAAATTTTTCACTCAATTATTTACAATTAAAAATGTGGCTTCTTATATTCTAATACATTCATTCCTAATAATTCTTAATCATATATATATTCTAGGAAGGTGCACATTGGCTTATATATGTATATAGATATCTCTACATATAATAAAAGAAAGAGTCTGTCTGGGTGTGTGTCTTTCGTTCGCGCTGCGTGTAAGCTAATAGACCCAAAGCTACGAAATTTGGTACATAGGTGCATCTAGATAAGAGCCAGTGCACTTCGAAGCGATTTCGAAATTCAAATTAGAATTTTTTTAAATTTTATGTTTTGTGATGAAATCGAGTCATTTTGAGACATAATGGGCTACAGAAAGCGAGATTTTACTCTACACACTTCATTTTCACATCGTCATGAAACGTAGGCACTTAGCTATTTCACGAACTTAAAATAAATTTTGTGTTTCAATAAATCGATTAAGTACGAATTTATTTAACAAAGGGAGCTTAACACCTTTTCAACGGGATTTTTTCTAAAAAAGTTTATTTAAAAAAATGTACTGTTTAGTTTTTTTATTTTATTTTTGGACACGTTGAACTTTCATCCTTGCGACTGCTTTTACAAAAAGAATTTTGGAAAAATGAGAATATTTTGTATTTTTAAAAAAAAATTTAAATGAAGCTTCTGAGTACACTTCTCACATCTTTAAAAAATGTGATTTTGGCAACAATTTTCATGTCTTATTGTTGTTGATAGATTTTTTGATGAAATCGCACCATTTTGAATAGTTTCATTCTTTTAGAAATATGGAGTTTGGCAACAATTTTTCATCGTATTTCTTATGTCTTTAAGAGATTGGCATACTTCATTGTCATTTTTATATATATATAATACATTTTTATTGATTTTTTTTGATAAAGTTGTTCTGCATAGTAAAATTCTGTGCGGATATTTATGTTTTTTGAGTTGCTTTCATGTTATTTTTTGCTTATTTCACTTTGTAAGATATTGAAAAGCTTTGCATGATTTTTTTTCTTCAACGGAAAGTTGGTTAATTTTTTTATTGGGATAATTAATGTTTCTATTAAGGGATATAGCTTATTTCACTTTAATTTTTTTCTCTTGAAAATATAAGATAAAATATCATTAATTATACTTTGCTTTTCAGAATTTTTTGTTTTTTTGTATTCTTTTATGTTGTTTTTTGCTCATTTCACTGTTTTTAAGATATTGAAAAGTTTTGAGTGATTTTTTTAGGAAACAAAGTTCTTAACCTCCTTTATACCATTTGAGTTCTTAAGATTTTGCAAAGGGAAGTTGGTTTATTTATTAGGATAATTAATATTTGTATTAAGGAATATTGCTTATTTCATTGTAATTTTGTTATAGGTAGTAACTTTTGTTTTTATGAAGTTGTTCTGCAGAGTAAAATTCTACGCAGTTTTTAAATTAAACGTTTGGTATTCCCTTCAGCCACTTTTTCGGTATATTTAAAAGTCAGACGAAGGCTGGCAGCTAAGCTGCTAGTAATATATAAAATAAGAAATTTAAAACTAATGTTTCACAAAGGCAAAAATTTTTAAATTCATAATTAATAAATTTGAAATAATCTAATAAATGCAACAAAGAATTTAATAAATGTAAAAACCAAAACTTTTAAACAATCCATACCCTAATTCAAATATTCAAAGGAATTCAAAGGAATATTGAAATTTTTATGTATACAGTAGTTGCATTCTGTTTTATTTCTACATTATCATGCTTTATTTTTAAATACGCATTAAAATTTTAACATGTATCTGTGACTTGTCAGTTCATAGAACATTTGCTAAAAACTAATAATGTGTTTTATATGCTTATTAATCCCTTGAGTGGCAATGGCATGACTGTCTTTATCTGGTCATGACACTTTTGTCCCTTGGTATAGATTAGTTTATAATTTAAAATATTTTGCTTTCTTACTTTCTTTAATGGTGTAAATATCAGCTTAACGAATGGAAGCTTATGAAAACAGAATCTAAAATAAGTAGTTATACAAATTTAGTTATTAAATGTGGTATCGATATAGAGCTTCACGAGCAGATCCAAAAACGTGCCACTCAGAGGATGAACTACATTCAAACTACATATTTGAATTTCAGCTAATGTTGCTGTAGATTCATAATTTTTGATGGAATTAATATTTTTTTTTAATTTTGTATTTATTTAATTATATGGATGAATGAATTGAATTTGAATGCCCTTTTTTTATATATTGTATTTATGTCTCAGATGACTTAGCTTTTATTTATTATTGCATCTACAGAATGCTTGTCACAATTCTAGCATTTTTCACTTGTATTCATTTTATTTGCTATATGTAATCTTCTTATGCTTTCAGCCTTTTTACTTCATCTTTGTAGGTGATAATTTGATCTCTTATTTTTGATTTTTGAAAATTTTTGCAGGGCAGATTTCTTTATTAAGCGTTTCATTTTATTCTGAAATATTTTTTTTTTTCTTGTGTTTACAATCCAATACCAGTTAAGGCTATTGAAAGTTGTACTTGGTGGAAGATTTACAAAACATATATTGCTTTTTATTCCAAGTGTGTGAATATATGAAGGCAATTTTTATTATGAAAAAATATCACATCATCTACATCAAATTTATTGATATCTTTAGTATAATACATCAATAAATAAGTTGATAAGATGGGAATGTATATACTGTTATAATTCTAGACATTTAAAAAGGCAGATACGACGCGTATTCGGAAACTAAGTACCATTAAAAAAAAAAAAAAAGTAAAACAATTTTTTGAATCCAATTTTATTTTTACATGAAAATACATGTCTTAAACTATTTTTCAACATAGTTTCCGCCAATGATCAAACACTTGTCATATTGGGTCACCAGTTTTTGTATACCATCGTCAAAGAAACTTCCCGCCAGTTTTGATAACCACGACTCCACAGCATTTTTCGTGTCATCGTCAGATTTAAAGCACTTGCCACCAAGCTCATGCTTCATGTGCAGGAACAAGTGATAGTCGGACGGCGCCAAGTCCGGGCTGTACGGTGGGTGATCGAACTGCTCCCAGTGAAACTGTCGAATTAATGATTGAGTGACACCAGCAGTATGGGGCAGAGCATTGTCATGGAGCAACACAATTCCTTTACTGAGCGTTCCTCTTCGTTTGTTTTGAATGGCACGCCTTAGTTTTGTTAAAGTCTCACAATATCGTGCCGCATTAATGGTTTCACCTCTGGGAAGAAAAGAAAATTCAGTGAGCAAAACGCCTTTCCTATCCCAGAAGACAGTGCACATGATTTTTTGTGATGACATTGTCACTTTGAACTTTTGTTTTTTTTCGGGAAGGGAGGAACGAGTGTGTCTCCACTCCATCGATTGTTGTTTCGATTCTGGTGTGAAATGACACACCCAAGTTTCATTACCTGTCACAATTTGGTTTAAAAAGTTTTCTCTCTCATCACTGTACCGTGTGAGAAATGTCAGGGCACTACCAAGTCGCTTTCTTTTGTGAACATCAGTGAGCATTTTTGGAACCCATCAGGAACACAGTTTGCGATAATTCAAGTGGTCAGACACAATTTCGAACAAAACAGTACGTGAAATTTGTGGAAATGCCTCTGAAAGAGTTGTCATTGTGAAGTTTCTGTTCTCATGAATTTCTTCATCAACTTTCCTTACCAAATCATCGGTGACAACAGAAGGCCGACCACTCCGAGCCTCGGCGTGGAGATTTGTTCGACCTGCATTAAACATTCTTACCCACTTTCTCACCATTCCATCACTTATCGCGTATTCACCGTAAACTTCTGTCACTTGACGGTAAATTTCAGCTGGTTTAACATTCCTCGCGTTCAAAAATTTAATCACGGCACGAATCTCATAGTCAGCGGGAGAACTAATTGTCTTAAACATTTTGAATGTGCACAGCAAACTGAAAACACAACATAGAGCAACCAAAATGGCGACAATTGAAAGTCAGTGAACAAGAAAGACTAGTGCGCATGCGCGGGACGCCTACTACAGCGCTGCGATGGCGCTAGAATGAAACGGTACTTAGTTTCCGAATACGCTACGTACCATTGGTTTTGATTCTGTTCCTAAATTTCCTTATTCAAAGTCATACACAGTGCACCGATAACACAATATTGTATGCTGCCCCTCTTTTTTTACTAATGGAGACAGCCATATTCACACAAAGTTAGATTATTGGGAACTTGGTGATAATGTTCAGTCTTGTTAGAATCCAGCCAAGTCCTTTCAGTTATTCTGGCATTGTTATTGAGCAATTCCACATTGTTAGTGAATATTGTTATAGAACAATTCCATGAGTTATGAAAATTTTTAAATCTGCACACATGAAATGAAATTTGAGTCTGTAGTACATATGTATATATCTTATTTATTCTCTTTTAGGAAACAAGTGTTAGCAACTAGAAGTGAAGCTGAAAAGGACAATGTAACAGTTCCAACGACTTTAGAAGAATATTGTATTAAACATAGAGCTAAACCAAAAGAACGGGAAGCAGACATGACAGATTTTTATGATGATGACTATGGTGATGACATGGAAGATGATGATGAAGATGAAGAAGAAGAAATTCATGATGATAATGAAGATTCAGGGAATGGGGAATTGTGATGCTGTGTGTTGAAATATATAAGCATTGTGTGCATGTGCAGGGTGTAATGATACTTTCTTAAAACTTTTGTATCCCTGTGCGTGAAGGGAACTGCATTTCAATTTATGGAAATATTGCTGGAAAGTTATTTAGCTTAAATTAATAGTTTGAGCAGTATGTATTGTGTTGTGTGTAAAAGCATAAATTATTTGAAAAATATCTTGAAGTACAGCTTTTTAAAATCAAAGTACTTTCCCCATAAACAATGTAATAAGTGTTTTTGACTCAAAATCAGCATTGTCATGTGAACCGAAAGAGAATTTTTGTATAGACATATTTATTTTCAGAAATAGTAATTTACATAAGTAATACAATTTATAACTATAGGTTCATCATATACAGATCATAGACAGATTAATTATCATGAACATCATTGTGACATAAAGTGGTGGCTGAGCTATATGTACCTGTGTATATGCGTTTATTCAAGCATTTATTGAGATTTTTCAGTATACAAACTACAGTTTAGCTGAACATTTGTGTTTCTTTAGTATTGAGGACAATTTAATCAATCCTTTCAGAATCATATTGAACAATGAATTGATTACCTATATATATAGATATTTAATAACCTTTCAAATGTAGTTACATTAATATTAAACACATACACACACATAATAGACATAGAAATTCAATGCTGTTAAGGACAAATTATACAATATTGTCTGTTTTCATCTCATGATAAGTTAAAGTATTCTGACTACAATTGGGGGAGGGGGAGACTTCTCTTTTGTTTTCATAGCTCATTTTACTTCAAAACATATTCACTAAATTATATACACATGTTTGTAACATTCTAAATTTAAAATTATGTTTTTTTTCTCCCTGTTTCAGTAGTAGTAAACTAGATTCTTATTATGTTCACATAGTATATTTTTATTATAAATGTTTTTTTAGTAAGCAAATCTGGTATCCAAGTGCTGTTGCTCAGATTTTGGATTCTGGCTTTTATTGTGCTCTTCTATCCAAAAATACATTGGATTAGAAAACATGCGCTGTGTTTTCGCAGTAGCAGGGCACTCTGTATTTATAATAATTCTGCAGTTTTATTAAAATGAAGCTAGTTGTATTCTGCTTATGAATGCATTTACACTGAGAATATTCTAACAGTTCATGAAAACATAAAGAGTGTTCAGCACATTTCTGTTATAAAATTGTAGCTACAGATTTCAGGATAATGTAATTAAATTTGAAACTAAGAGTTCAAAATACACTCCCTGATATTTTGATCTCTTTATTATTTATTTTTGCAAGTCAAACACATGAATTATTAAACCAAGTTTTATATGTTTATGCTAGGATTTTTAGTAATGGGATATTTTTTTGGGGTCCATATTCAGTGCTTATTTTATATTTATAAATTGATTTTATACCACTCAATGCTATTTCAAATAGTCTCCCCAGCTGTTAATAATAAATGTAAATCATAAATTCTCATTTCTAGAAATATTTTTAACTGGACATTCTGTAGAGAGAGATTTTTAAATGAACCCTTTTAAAAGCAGGATAGCGATCTTAACTGTAGACATTAATAATTATGGACACTATCAGCAATTTTTAAAGAAGCAAAATAAATTCCAGTATAATCTTTATTATACATTCCAGTTAATTTCAAAGTAATTAAACAAATATTCTTCAAATATGGCAAGTAATAAAGTTTGTATGTTATCAAATTAAAAAATTTTAATTTTAAAAGATTAAAATTATTTCAACATATCAATATGGTTACAAACTCTACTAATGAGATGTCATAAGCGTGTTATGTCTGATTTGCTTTGCCATAAAGAGTTTTGGTTTTAAGGATTTTTAATTAAAAAATTAATATTCTTTATGATCAGATATGAACTGGTAAATAAATGGAAATTATGAGTTCTGTAATAAAGTAACATGACTGCAATGTTTGCAAAGGGAATTGCAAATTTTGCTTATTGTGTTAATAGTTCTATAGTTACTAAAACCGTCTTATTACAAAGCATTGAAGAAAGCAATTTATATAAAATGAGAAAATCTCCAAATTTCAGCACCAGATGTTCTTTTGCTTTAATGTACTTTAAACCTAGAAATAATTGGAATTTTGCATCAATTGAAACATAATAAATAATACTCTATTCAATAAATTGTAATGCATCATAAATAGTGTTACTGTTATTTTACTACGCTAGTTTTCAAGACCTGTAAAGTGATTATATTATCACAATAGATATTTTAAAGGAAGTTCCAACAAAAATATGCTTTGAATGTAAAACTATTTTAATCTTTCTTTCCCGCTTTTTCATTTTTGGCCAAACTATGTTGTTACTTTTAATGTTTCATACATTTTATGTGTGTAAAAAGTGCGATGGCTAGCTATCCTTTGCAATTTTTTAAAACTTTTTAAATAAATTGTGTAATGAAGTTATTTGTTGTTTTAAATTTGTCTTGCTTTAGTGCAAGAAGTTTTCTGGTGTCCAACTTAAAGGTTGTGTGGGAAAATTTTAAAATATGGATTAAATTCTGTCATAAAATATATCCTGAGTGAGAAGTGTTCAGCATATTGTAACATTCTGCATAGATGAATGCTGGGATAATTTCTTTAGCATATTCTGAAACATATAATTTTTTTGAAGAAATGGCATGGAATTTAAAATTTTTAAACTAATAAATGTGAATTGCAAAACCAACTTCAGTAACTTAAAACAAGTCATCCTAATATTAGAACACTTTGTCAATGTGCAATATCTCTAATTTTTTATGCGTGTTAGCTTTTCTAGCATAATACAATTACTCCTCTATATGATAACTCTCTATAAAGTTCTTTAATTTTTTGTGTAGAATCATTTACAAAGTAATGAAGAGTATTTCTGTAAAATCTGAATTGAAATCTCTGAAAACTATCCATGCAAAAGTTGAATGAATATTTTATAAACTTTATAATAATATATTTTTAGAGAGCAGTATTAAAAGATGTGGTTGTATGTAGAAAAAGGAGTATGAAATATATACTAAAATGAAGAATTAACTAAAAGGAAGTATTTTTGCTTTTATCTGGTTTATCTCTGTGTAGAATCCCTGTAGAATGAAGACAACATTTTTGATAAAAAAAAAAAATGTTCCAGCTTCTTATTTTGCAAAACTTAATATTTCAAAGTACATAATTTAAATCTTTTACGGAAGTTCATTGTACTGTAAGCTGCTCCTCTTTATCTGTATGATCGGCATTAAGTGTGTAAGGAAAACCAAAGTATAATGTTGTAAAAGTAGCCATTAATTATGATAAAATAATCTGTTAGGTAAAAAAAAAAAAAAAGTGAGTTCCTGTTATAAATTTATAAGTTATGTTTTCATCAGAGTGACATACTTATTATAGTTTGTAATTAATAGATATATAAAGAAATTCAAAATATGCCTTATCTCATAATGAAATTTTTATGTTTTTGTGAAAAAATGAAATTTTGACTTTTTTTTCCCTTTTCTCTCCATACTCTAAGTTTGCTATGATTGACTAAGAAAATTTTTAGTAGCATAATGTAACAAAACTGAATTGAAAAGAAACATTTTGTGACATTGCTAAAAATTTCTTATTATTATTTCCTCTTTGGTAATAAAAATTGTTTTTCATTATTTAACTTTAGAATATTTTATATCAATTTTTGCTGGAATTTTTTTTAAAAAAATGGAATACTGAAATATCATTGTGAACTGATTTGAAGATTTATTTTTGTCATTTATTAAAATTGTATTATAAAATTTTTATACTCTCCATGTTCCATGTTTTAATTTATATATTACATTGAAAGATAATGTTAAATAACTGTATTTAATTTGAGCACTATGAAATTATTTTTAAGCTTGCTAAAAAATGTAGATTGGTGAAGAATTAGAAAATTTAGAATGAATATTACTGAAGTTTTTATAGTTAGCAATTTTGTCAAATTGCTTTATGAAATATTTTCTTCTCCTTTAAGATGAATAATTTTCTAAAACTAGTTAAAAAAAAAAGCAAGTGTTAAATTGTAATATAAAAATTTTTACACAATATATATATATATATATATATATATATTGAGAGCGGAATACCTGGAATAATCATTTATTTTGTACATGTTGTACCTTTTTTATTGGTACTCTGTTATTTGCAAGTATCATGATCCAAACTTTTTAAATCTTATCATTATTTTGTAAATCTTTTACCATGGTAGTGTTATTAATAGCAGCTGGAATGTAATATATTCAGCTGTATTATGGCAGTTCAGAGACAAAGATCTGTAAATGATGATGCTAATATTAATGCTAATATTATTAAGAAAACATCAAATGTGTATGATTTAAGACCCCCACTAAAATTTGATCTTTTTTTTAACTGAAGCTGAACTTGTTTGAACTAAACTGATTCTTTCTTGTTCCAGATTTTGTAATTAACTTGATAGCACAGCAGTGTGCATATGAAATGAGCTGGGAAAGCCTAGTGATTAGGCATAAACTACGTATTTAGTAGTATATATAAAGAGTTTCACTTATGGGTATATTTCTGTTTTCTGTGATTAGCCAATAGTTTGCCCAAAGGATTTAAGAGGTATAATTTATCATTCTTAAGCTTGATTTTACATTGAATAGCAAGTAAATTTACATAATTCACATATTTTCATTATTTGTGTCTTCTGATACTATATAATAATATATATATTTCTCTATTTTTATCACATTTTGAATCTACATAATGGTGTCCATGTTGAGTTCGTGTCTATATATATTGGCTTAATGAATCCTGAAATCGAGATTTACTGTACAAACACACACAAAATGTGAATGTTGGAGAATCCAGCTTTTATGCCAGCACACTGGATTGAGATCTGATGAATTTGGAGACTAGGACAATATATTGAGCTTTTTTTTTTTTTTTTTTTTTTTTTTGTGTGTGTGTGTGTGTGTGTGTGTTCTCAAATGTTTCTCAAACTCTTTTGTTCTGCAAAAAAGGCATATTGTTCAGCTAAAAAAGACCTTCTCTGTGTTGGAAGTAATGCTGTCACATGCATGAAGAAATGTATATGATATATATTGATGTTTAATTAAGTGGTTATGCATCGTCATTGTTTCCTATGCATGATTAAATCCAAAGATTTACAGCCAAAAAATTCTGAAAGCCTTACTTTTATTCGAAAGAATATTTTGTTAATTCAGGTG